CCATTGGTTCTAAAAAAAGTTGAGAGTGCATTGGCGGCGAATTTTAGAAAGTCCAAGGATAAGAACAAGGAAATGACCAAAGAGAAGAACAAGGAAAAACCTCGGGAGAAACTTAAGGACAAACCTAAAGACAAACATAAGGACAAACCTAGGGACAAAACTAGAGAAAAACAAAGGTTCAAAGCTAAATCCGAAGAACTCAGAAAAGAATTGCTAGCCAAATACGAATACGATGCTGATTCTTCTCATCCGGAAGATCCCTTTTTTCCTTCGCAAGCATCCCGTGTTAGAAATTCTAGAGTTGGGCGACCTCCGAAATCTCAAGGCACTGATAAAAAGTTCACGCCTATAACCTATCAAAAGTATCCGGCAAATTATGATGATTCTGATAATTTTACACCCTACACATCCAGTGTTCCGCAGTCCCCGTATTCAATGACATCGGGATATCCAATTACTTCCACACCGTTGACTGATAATGTGCAAAATACTGGGGTATCTCATCAATATGGATTTGTAACGTCACCTCAAGAAACACCCATGCCTTCTATTCATTCTATTCCTTCACAGTACTTGGCTCAACCATTTTATCAGGTAGATTCAGAGTCCACTGTTCCCACAACTTCCATAGCGCCTGCAACGTCTACAGTGCAGCAGCCAATAGTCCCGTCTATGTCGAAACCTAAATCTGGAACAGTGTTGGAAATACCTCCTGAGACTGCGGAATATTTTGCTCGCGATCATATGGGCAACGTTTTGTGGTTTGCCTCTCCGCCAATTGACGTAGTGCAGGTACCAGAACCAATGCATTCAATTGAATATTTGTGTCGTCGAAAAGAATTGCTAGAGCGTGATAGAAAACGGAAATTACAAGAAGCTTTCAATTATGAAGATTATTCAAATCCTCGATTTGAGACACCCCCACGATTGATAGAACTCGATTTGCTGAGTGATATTGAAGAATTAGGCAATAAGTGGAAGAATGATGCTACTTTTCTCAACCGACAACTTGATGAAATTGATGAAACATTATATGGTGATTCATAAGTTTATCAATGGACGATCTATTTTTTGTAAAAAAAAAAAAAAAATTATAATTGTTGTAATGATTTGTATTTTATTTCTTTTCAATTTGTCATTGTGGTGGGGGGTTTTTTTTTTTTTTTTTTGAAACGTTTTAAATAAAACAAAATGAAAATTTTATTTTGTTGTTTGTGCATGTTATAAGTTATCCAAGATTTCATCAATTGATATTTTCCTAAAACGACATATATCAACTTCGATCAATATTAAGAAAATAGAATGAATAAGACCATTTAGACTGTTACATATGATTATGTATAAAATAAGATTAAATATGGTACTGTAAGTATAAATAATTTTATTTATTTTCTAACTGGTTTTAGATCTTTTGGATGAACCTTCAGAATATGTAGCACTTCTTTTTTGTAATAATCCTTGTTTTCTAAAATATTCTCTTCGTTCTTTCTTATCTTTTTCGGCTAATATAGTTTCTCGTTTGGCCATTTTCTTGGCGTATTCGTGATGTTTTTTGGCTTGTTTTTCCTTTCGCTTTTTATCCTTTTCTTTCTTTAAGGTATTAATTTGTTGCATGAGTGTATACATTTTCTTTTCTTTTGGTTCTAATACAACAGCTCGTTTTTGTAAATATGATTGTTTGGTTCTCTTTTTAAGTATTTTTGGTTTACTTGCAAAAGGTAAATTTGCTTGTAAAGATAATGGAATATGTAATGGATTGAAACGACGAGCTTTCCGTTCTATTTTCTATTATAAGTTATTAATTATTATACTTTAATATCAAAAAAAAAAAAAAAAATAAAATAAAATAAAATAAATATTTAGAGCAAATTGATTATAAAAAACCTTATATTGAGAATCTGGATTTATTGGTGGGGTAAGATCCAATTCTTTGCGGATTTGACCCGTTAGGCGCATTCCTTGCCATTCTTTCTTGAATGATAATAACAGTGATGTAACAGGATTGTAGAATTTCTTTGGGATGATCGGATACCAAGCTCGTAAAAATATAATATCTGAAACATTAAAATAAAGTATAAATACAATCACTTTAAGTCAAATTCAAGGAATTTATATTTCATACCACTCATCAACACTTTATCTTCAAAAGTAGCGCGAAAGTGACCTTCAGGTTTCTATACAGAATCAAAGTTAACTTAATGATAAAAAATAGAGATAAATATTGAGAAATTTATTTACCGTTATCGGTTTTTTCACTTGACCACGAATTCCTGATACAGTTCGAATCGCAGCTCCTTCAAATTTTGCCACTTCTAACGCAGAAGTAAACATATCTTTGACGAAAGCTGTATTCTTAAAGATCTTGTAAGGAACACCGGTCAATTTCAATTTTTTAACAATCTCAACCGAATGATTAATATCAAGTACAACTCCGGTGGCGCTTATCCTAAATGTAGCCTACAAATATAAATAATATACAAAACTTGTGATCAAAATTATAATATAAATACAATTCATATTTCTGTTATTTGACTTACTGTATTATCATTAGAAACAGATTGCACTGCGCAAAAACTAGTATTAGGCGGATGAATTGGTCCTTTAAATACAAGTTTAAATATTATGAGGAATAGAAAGAAGTGATGAATTTGGTCATGATCAACAAATAAATACCGTAAAATGTGGCTAGACAATGCATATGTTCTGGGGTGTACTTGAGCATCCTGTTTCTTGTCCCATCATTCAAAGTATAAATAGGTATTGATTGGAACCGTCTCCAACCAAGTGAGAATATAAGGGGATCTTTGGTCTTTAAGATCTTTTTGTGCCATCGATGTCGTTTTATACGAACCTGTAATAATAAATTTTGTTAGTTTATCAATGTAAATGCAGTATTCCACGTATAAATTGTTTGTTAACCTGTATAAAGCCTAAATTTTCTTCAGTTGTTAATAGACCTCCAACTATGATAGGGTATGCCGGATCAAAATACTTCACAAATTCGCATGGCATTCTCTTGAGTAATATTCGGACATAAGTACCAGGTCGAAATCCTTCAACCATAGCTCTTGTATGAGAATCATCGTCTTCAAACTCTTCACGATTAAGTTGTAATTGCTTAGCAATTCCCTCTTTGATCTCATCATAAAAGTCTACCTTGGGAGAACCATCTTTTTCATCATATTCCGCATCAAATTTTTTTTTTAACAAAGCTCTTTTTTGCGCAAGAGCTTCTTGCTCAATTTCATTTTCGGATTTTTTGGATCCTTCAACTTTGACCACTTCACCAGTTTCAAGATCCTCATAGTCTCCATGAACTTCATTATCTGAACTGTCATTTTCTCCCGCAGAAGAATCATCATCGAGACTGCCTGTAATGAACCTATTTCTAATAGATTCTAAAGTCTAGGAAAAAAAAAAATTTCTAAATCAGAATGTTACCTAAACAACGGCACAAATAACCATGATGATACTAACTATTTCGTCGTCCCATTTATCGAGATTACTTGTATCTAAATATGCTTTGGTGGAATCAAGAGTATTCACAGAATCAGAATCTTTCTCTTGAGACTTTATAATCTTGAAAAATTCCTCATCATCTTTCTCCTCTTCTACATTGTCTTTCTCGTTGGAGGCTGCTTCAACTTTTAATAATTCAGAAATTTCTCCTGATGCAATTTCTTCTGGCGTTTTGTCGTTACTATAAATCAATTGCATAATATTAATTCGACGATTAGTGTAAAACAGCTTTTTTGCTTTTTCGGTCAAGTTTGATTTCCATTTTAATGTCCCATCAAGATCTGGGTCATCATCTTCGTTTTGACCTAGAATATCTTCCATATCGCTGTCGCTTTCGGCATATGCAATCTCCTCGTCGTTAATATCTTTTTCTGGATTCTTCATCTTAGATTTATTGAAAGCAAAACTTCTACTAGCAACTTTTTCCCACTCATCCCCTTCATCACCATCTTCTTCGTCATCCTCTTCATTGTTGTCATCTTCGTAATCGTTATCATTCTTCTCCTCATCGTCGTTATCATCCTCCCCTTCGTAGTCCTCCTCTTCCTCCTCCTCCTCTTCGTAGTCGTCATCATCCTCCTCATCATAGTCATCATCATCGTAGTAGATATCTTCATAGTTATAATCTTCAAATTCGGGATTTTCATTATCATCTGAATCCGTGTCTTCCATTTCATCTTGTTCGCCACCATCATATTTTTTAACATCATCTGCAAACCTAACCTTACGACGGCCACGAATATTCTCATCTATTTTTTTAGATTCCGTCGATTCTAAAATATATAATTAATCATTATTGGCTTCGAATTTTAAGTAGATTTTGAAGACAAAGAAATCAAATAAAGTACCAGAATTAACTTCCTCAACTAAATCTGAAGCTTTCATCGGAGCAGAATTTGCGAAAATTGTAAGTTCACTTTCTTCTAATTTATCTGCAAGTG